TGCTTTCGTGTTCATTTTTTTTTTCTGCATTGTCCATGGAATTAGAAAGTCGACAATGTGTCTGTTTAATTAGGTGGTAGAATACTATCTGCAGAGCTGTTTAACATCCATGGGAGTTAGGCCTTCCTGATGTAGCAATGGCATAAGTTCATTTCCCTCATGATTTTTGAAACAAAGATTGCTTATGACTTCAAAAGCTCTTTAAAACATTTTTTTTTCTTATAATAAGACTATAAAGTGTTCTAAACACTTGTACAAGTCATATCACATGGGAATCTAAATAAAATGTACTTTGCAATGCAGAACAGCTTCTGATTCAGCCAGATGGAGTGCAAAACTGGTACCAGATAGCTTTAGCAGCAGCCTATATGGAATTCATACACTAACATAATAAATCTTACAAGATAAACCAACAAACCACATATTTTCTTGATCCTTGAAATATATTTTAATTTTACAAGCTTATACTTAAATGAGATATAGAGTGCCAGAATTATCTAATGAATCCTAATAGGATTGATTACATTTAGCAAAGAGTGAACACAGTATATACCTCTAAAATATCCATATGCATTTAAATGTGTTAAAATATGCACAAGGTAAGTGTATTTGTTTTTAAGAAAGGTCACAAGAAAAAATGGTTTCTTAGTATATATAATTGAATAAAGTTTTGAGAATAATTGCACATAATACAACTTAGAGAAATAATGAAGCAAGATGGATGTTTTACTTGAAATTAAATTTTACATCTCATGTTTTTATTTTAAGTCTCTGCTGCTAGTCTGTGGCCTGGTTAGTTGTCTACTATTTCACTAACAAATTTATTTTCCTGTGGGATAAGGACCAATATGTGGGATAAACAAAGATGATGAACACTAAAAAAAGTCACTTTCAGAGTGCAAAAAAAAAGAGCTTAGCTGTAAAAACACATGATTAAAATAATATGTCAGTAAGCATTGCATCTGAAGAAATCCAGGAAATTACTTTATTGAACATTAATAAGAAGAGGTTAAATCTGTAAGCAGACACTCAAATTTGAGTTTTTAAATCCTTTGTGAAATGGAAATCTGTAACAGAAATGATAACAGACAATAGTCTTTAAACAGTTGTGATGAAAGCACTGAATTATCAAAGAGATGCAGTCAAAACTCATTTAAGAAAGGGCAGATATGAGGGCTTGGAGATGATAAACAAGATAGGACTGTTAAAATCATCTACTCTGATCTCTTGAACTAAATATAATCTAAAATTTTTGTTAACTGTAATAATACATTGTAAGCTTGGATTTCAAATTTGATTAGCTTGCTTAAGGACAAGGCGATCAGAGACCCCTAACTTCTGTTTATTTAAATGGTTTATTTGTTTAAAAGGTTAAAGCTTACAATTTTAAATAGTATTTTGACATGCTTTTACAACTTTTTCTTCATTGTTTGTTAAATCCCATCACATCTAATTTTAGCATGTAAGTGCTTTTTACATGTGATTAATATCATTGTGGTGAGTTATTTATAGGTGTAGGGTCTGCAGTGCCAGCCCATGTCCCATGTTATTAGAATCCGAGTCCTGTGCTCATCTGCGCTGCATCCTCGTCCCATTTCTCAATGGCCCTGCTGTCATAAGCAAGTCTGTGTTTCTCTGTGCTGCATAATCATGTTAGAGCTGCAAATGTCCCATTCTGCACAGACTACTTTGATATGGAAGCATGACTTTCCCATACAAAGATAAGCAAAATTCAGACAAATTAACCATAGCCACCTGATGACTGCACAATTTACTATCACAGCTCAGCTAAGCTCCAGGTAGGTCAAGGAAGGCTGTCAAGCAGTTGTCCTGCGGCTTTGCAATCTCTGTACAAAGGATGTGGCCTTTACAAGGAATGACAATATTATATTACTGGGCTACAGAGTTATATTGTATATAGACAAATAAACATATTTTGATATAGATGTTAGGTAGACTTGTCTTACATAAATTTAAATTCAAGAGGAATTCCTTCTCTATTGCATTTAATTGTGTATATGCTTTCAAAACTTTCCACTGATATGCTTGACCAAAGGGATGAAGCTGAACTAGGAGAAAATCAGGGAACAGGAGAAAATCAAATCAAGAGCTATCAACATTTCATCACACAAAGAAGCCAATATTATTAGTCCTCTTTGTTAGGGCCCCTGTGTGGCACTCACTAACAAGCAGCTGAGGTTTATCCAGTTAAGTAAATTTTAAATTTTAGATGAAGTTTAAATATGCAGTTAAACAACTGGTAAAGCCCAGAGGTCTTAGCACTCTGCAAGATGGATCTTTAAAATATTTGTAAGAGTTTTTCTAAACACTAAAGTCCTCAAACAGCTTCATGAAGTTCAATCAAGTATTAATAGCTGGCAAAATTTCTACTGCACTTAGTCCATTCTGTCTCCTAATGTTACCATCAAACACTTGACACAGGTGATAAGATGAGGATAGCACATAGCATGAGGAAGCCTCAACCTGACTCAGCAGATACTGAAAAAAAAAAAAAGTTGATTGTAAACTGACATTCACTATAAAATTTTAATAGTAAACATGTAACAATTGTAGAAGAATTGAAGAATATTGAAGAATTAACCTCATTGTCAGATGCCTCTCCAAAAAAGGGCTATCACTGCTTCTCACTCAAGTAAAATTATACATTATCACAACAGCCATTACCTTTGGCATGTAGGAATCATGGTGGCAAAAACAAAAAAAAAATACCCCACACACAGAAAAACAAAACAAACAACAACAACAACAAAAAAACCCCAGCATCTTAAAGATGTGCTAAGGAATCCTTTTTCTATTCTTTTTGGTTTTTTTTTTTTTTTTTTTTTTTTTTGGTTTTTTTTGTTTTGTTTTGTTTTGTTTTGTTTTGTTTTTCTAAGAATATCTCCTAGGAAAAAGAAGTCCATTCAAGCATACAAGTAATAGTTAGGAAAAAAAGAAAACCTCAGTAAAAAGTATAGTTCTAAAAGTCAGGCTACTTATCCTGTTCTAATAAGAAAAATCCATCTAATGAACTATTTAATTGAGTTTAACAAGACTGTTTATAGTTAATCCTAAATGCACTAATAGGAAACCTAAGGCCTATATTCAATGTTAGTTTTACTCCCTTTGGATGTTGCTCATAATTACAGTTTGCTCTTTAATTATTCTTCTTCATGTATTCAATTTATGATTAAGACCAACAGCTTGCCCTGGAGGCTGAAAGTGCTGAGGTGGACACTGGTGAATCAGCAGAGAGTAACTTCTTCAGCAATGTGCATCCGCTCAGAAGCAGCCAAAAAGCAGCTTTTCACTCCAATCATGAAATTCAGAGCTGGAGACATGGGAATACTATTCCAGCAAGAGAAACAACCTCTGATAACTCTCTAGGGGGAGGAGATTAAAGAACAAAATCTCAGACAGACATGAATGTATTTTTATTGAAACAAATAGTGTGGTGTTGGTAATTAGAAGTATAGTTTTTGACTTTTATCACATTAACTGAATATTCACGTGATCCTCTACTTTCGCAGCTTCCAATTGCTATTTGCTATTTTGCTTTATGCTTATTTTCCAATAGCACATACTTGGATAACCTTTCTCTATAGCTTTTATTTAATTCAAGAAGAAATTTTGATGAAAATGTGCTAAAGACAACAACAACAAAAAATTAAAAATTAAGCTGATTTTATTAACTCTTTCCATCACTTGTGATACAAAATATAAAAAGGCTATATATGTGAAATTCTGCAGCCTATTTTCACTGCATAAAATATAGGAATGTTTTTTATACTAACATGATTTTTACCCTTAGCTATATTGCTAAGATTGAAAAGGGAAAGATTAAAAATATATAATACAGGAGGAATTAAAAGCTTAATTTTATCTAATAAATAATATACTTGCTTAACCCTTCAATATTTCAAAGTCAGATTTTGTTGTACAAAACTCATTTACATTAATGATAATCACTACAGCACCACATTATTAATTATCTAATCAATTATCTAATTATCGGATTTGATTATCTAATAGTTTGAGGGTTTTAAACAGATGACTATTACCACAGCTAAGATCACACACTAAGTCAATACTGTGGTCTGTTATAAAGCAATGATCTTAATAAAACTAAACCAATCTAAGATAACACAAAATAATTCCACCACATGGAATATCAAGATCCAGATCTAGTTTCTAGACTGTCCGGCAAAGCAAAGCTTAAGTTAAACATATAGGTTTTAGCCTACTTTACTTATTGGCCTTCTCACAGTAAACGATCTTCCAATATAGAATCAAAATGATCTTATAAATATGGTTTTCCTTACTGGCATAAATGTGAGCCTGAAAAACAAAAATGAAACTATTGAAAGTGCATGTTAAATGACAAAGAGAATCTTAAAATGTGCTGTGTTTTACTTTCCATGATCCTCCATCCTTTAAATTTACTTATGATTTATGTGAAAAATATCAAACTCTTCAGCAGAGTTAAAGCCTCTACATTGCAAAGGATTCAGCATGAATGATACCTTTCCCCCAGTATGAAAACTAGGTGGGATAATTCTTCTATTCCTAGGCAGAATTGCTTTTTTGTTTTGAAAAACCATCACACTAGCTTTCTGGATTTTGTGCAAACAATTCTTAATTACTTTTTTGGTAGAGCGTATGGACTAGGAGCACTAAAGCTAGAAAAGAGCTAGTAAGCTCACACAAACTATCGAGTAGTATATAAAGATGATCAGAAGATGGGCAGTGAAAAACTAGCTGGGCCTTAAAAGTGATGTAGCTTAGAGAAAAAGTTATATACAATTCCTTCTTCCCCTTAACTAATTAAATTATGAAATGTGATGGTGTCTTCTGGCTCAAACAGGTTTATATTTTGCTTAAGGATGAAAATTTAAAGGATTTCAAATATTTTTGTATTTTATTCCATGGTTGTTGTTACAAGAAACATTTTAAAATAGTTGCTAATATTTTTTTTTTCCAGCTAAGATTTCATGCATTGAATGGTATTCACACCTGCTACAAGCATTGAGCTATACTCCAGTGCAAAGAAATAAACTGCTACTTAAGTAATATTCCCAGTAAGGTTCTTTTTTTTTTTTCTTTTAAGTGACTACATAGCGCGTCTTACTCTCTGATTTTATCATCAAGTTTGATAAACCAAGATGGACAAGTGGGTTGTGCCTCAGTTCTCTGTATATAAAAATAAATATTATCATAGTCTTCTCATTCCATTCCCCCTGCTATTTACACATTAAGTTTTAATTCAGATCAAACATGTGAGCCAAAATGAGTTGAAAACAGGTAGATAAGATAGATAGACAGACAGACAGACAAACTGATAGACAGAAGTATCCCTCTATAGAAATTCCACACAGCATTCTGCAGCACAACTACTTGCACTTGACACAGACTTCTGAATACTGATTTTTCTGTACACTGAAGAACAGCTCTCGCATTATGAAATTCTTTGTGTCACGTTCCCAGGACATAAGGAAGCTGGGTGCTTAAATGACTGCATGCCATGAAGCTGGCTAAGCCTCCTGTTATGATGAGATCAGGTGTAAGTCATCTCTTCACACACTGCAATCCTCTCTGTCGCTGAAGAGGTAAGCACTAGGAGCCATCCTTCTGGCAAAGCAGGATAAGAAACAGCATGCAAAAATACAAAATAATCATGCTTTTAAACTAGTTACCTATTGCATATATATAAATGGAATTCAAATCAAAATCTTTTTTTTTCTTTTTTCCATCATCGTATAAAATTTCTCCCATCTTTAGGATTTGCGTGTGAATTCAGTAGCTTATTACCTCCTTAAGCATTCCTTCCAACTGAAATGTCTGTCACTGCTGTAACTGAACACTCAAACAAAGTGCTGACATTAAACCACAGGAGCCAATTTTCATAGAGAGCTGCTTAAGTATTCCAGAAGAGCAGTTTTGCATCAGCCAGGCCTTAGAGGCTATTTGAGATTTGTACAGTTTTAACTGGAAGGGTGAAAAAGAAAAAAAAATATCATGGCTGATAGCATGGATGAATGCATAAAGCAGTCCAAAAACATTTCCAGAATAAACCTATTACACAGCTTCTATTGGTTTGTTTCTCACCATTAACACCAGACCTATGTTGCCTAGCCCTTGCTGTTCTTTAAAGGGAGAATTGTGCTGTTTTCAGTCTGCCTTAGGCTTATAGTTAAAGGGAAACATAGGAAATTGCTCTCAAGGTAAGGATACTTTTCAGGTGCAATAGCTATGAAATGCAGCTTTTCATAAAGTGCCATGAAATTTTAGCTCCATTGTGGTTCCCTTTTGTCCTATATTTGTCGATATCAGATACCAACAGTAAATCAATTGCTTTTCTCTACTAATGAGCTGCTCTATTTTTACAGTATTCAGTAGCTTTTTATCTTTTTTTTTTTTTTTCTTTGCATTATTGGCTTGGAAGGAAGGAGAATTTGAAAATCTTTTAGTCTCACTCTGAATATTTCTGAGGACACTGAAAGCATGCCATGAAACCTTTACTTCACACAACACATTAAGTAAAGGCAGGGAAAATGCTGTCTCTAGCCGCACAGCTCAACCCTGATTTTGAAGGCCTGATTCTGTAGTCATCTGTCCTTTTATCCAGTTAAGGGAAGAATAATCTGCATGAATTCTTACAGAGGCTGGCGAGCAGAGCAAAGGTGTGAGGCAGATAATTATATTGACTATGACACCAAAAGTGATTCCCTATTTTGTGTGTGAGATCCAAAACCTAGCTTTAAGGTACACATATTGGATCATATACATCTATAAATACTCGTCTCTTAGTATGTCATTTTAGGTTGGAAAAGAGGTAGAAATCTAAAGTGTGTACAATGAAATATTTCATGAACATAGTAAAATAGATATATAGTAAAAAAAAAAAGGAAATAAGAAAAGGTCACAAAAGTAAGGAATTCTTTCTACACTTGCATCTTGATTATAGATTTCTGCTAATGTTATTATTTTCAAAAAGCATAAACTATTTTTTAATATTAAGGAAATATTGTCTTTCAAAAACAGACACTTTAAAATCTCAAATAATACATGAGACCTTATGCTAACTGATAAGAATGAGGAAAAAGTATGGAATTTAAAATAAAAATTTTAGTATAGACATAATTTTTAAAAAATATCAATATTACTATTATTTTACTTTTAATAGCTGGAGAAAAGAAATGAAGTGAAATAAAAACCCGTAAGGTAAATAAAAGTTCAAGATAAGAGGCCTTACTGCTTGGAATATTCTATCCTGTCCAAGGAAAATATGAAAAACAAGAGAATTTATCACTCCTCTCTGTTGCCTATCTGTCCAAGTGCTGGAGTAATGGAATTTTATTTAATTGAGTGTTTCTCATTCATCTTTTCTATATGGAAAAAAAAAAATGTAGGTCCTTGAAGAGAAAAGAAGCATAGCTTTGGCTCTGAAGGGGATGCAGGCATCTTTCTTTTCAGCCCGAATGAAATCATTGTGTGTGATCATCTGTTCTCAAACACAACAGAAGACTAGAAATGTCCCCCGAATATTATTGTTATTATCATTACTTCAGCTTTTTCCATTATTGCTACTTCAATTGCCAAAAATTCCTATTCATTGTTAATTTATTTTAAATAGGATTTTTTACATAGTGAAGTTTGCGATATAGTAACATAGTTAAGGTCAATTTTGTCATTCTTTTTTTTTTTTTTTTTTTTTTTTTTTTTCCCCATGGTGACTTTTTTTTTTTTTTTTTTTTTTTTTATATATCAGTAAAAAAAGTTCAAATACTGGAATTAACCTACATGTTAAACAGATAAGGCAGGATGACAAGAGAAAAATGTATATTTAAATCTTTTTTTTCTTTGCAACCTAATCAATTAAGAGTTCATTTAAATTCTAAAGAAGTCAGTAATAGAAAAGATATCTGCTCTTTTTTTTTTTAATAAACCTGAAAACATTTGAAAAAGTACAGTGTGAATAGAAAATAAAAATGGAAAATTGAAGGCAAAGTTCACACATCAGAAAAACCTAATAAAAAAATGCAGAGGATAATAGGATCTCAGCAGGCTTTGGTTGACAGTATGGAGAACTGGATGTGCTGTAATAGTGTTCCAGTAATTGGTATCATCAAGAACACAGAAGTTTTAACATGGAGGATTCCTTTCTGTAAACTGAACCTTTTTTCCAGTACAAGAGGCTTCTGAAATTCAGTGGTTACTGGCAGTGCTTGTTGTATAAGAAATATATTTAGATTAGACATGATTCCTAAATAAGTACATATAGAGATTTTAAGGATTTGATTTCTAATTTTCATTGATATTGCAGCTTTTGGAAAGATTTATATAGTGATGAAGTACATACATAATATATATGTGCATGTGTCTGTATATATCTATCTATATTTTTTTTTTCTGTGAAGAATCACTTAAATGCTTGTTCTGTTTTTTTTTGTTTGTTTGTTTGTTTGTTTGTTTGTTTTTTTCCAAATCCAACATATGTTTTTGTGGCTGCAGTTGCACTGGCACTATATGAGTTAGTCATTCAAATGATGTACTACATATCTGGAAACCAGCTGCTTCTCTGTGGGTGCAGGAAGGTAAATTTTATACTTGCACTTCACTTTTTTTTTTTTTTTTTTTCTGATCTTTCTGTTTAGCAATTGAATGAAAACAAAAACTAGGAAGGTCTTTGTTCTTTTTTAATAATTTTTAGAAGATATTTTATTTATTTGCTGTCAAAATTTTCAAATAAACAACAACAAAAAAGTCTCAATATTTCCATACTATCTTAATCATAATTACTTCAGTAATTAAAAATGATAGGTTTTTATTAGATTTTTATTCCTCCATTTAATTAAATTTAGTTTTTTTTTTTTCCAATGACTATGAATAAACAGGTATGCTTTATTTTCATTTTGCCATAACCCACAGTAAAATTTTTAGAAACCGATGAAAATTAGGATCTCATTGAAAGAAAGTTAAGAGAGTGATATAAATTATATCTTCTTGATGTACTAGGACTGGATAATTTTTTTAGAAAAAAATTGTAAAATATATTAAAATCATCCTCCATCTCAGCAACAAAGTGAATAAAGCAAGTATCTTAAAGTTTCTTTTGGAGAAAGAAGTTTCTGTTTAACAAAAATCAATTCATGTTTTAGTATCTTAAGTTTCCTACTGAAAAAGAAAAGCTTAATAAAGAGAAACGAAAAGTTGAGAATTTAAGTGGTCTTACCACTTACTCAGAAGTAATGATTTTTCTCAAAAAAGGAAGAGGCAAAATTTTTGAAGACTGTATACAATGGAATAATTTTATAGAAAGAATTAAATGATTCTTTGAATCAAATGATTCAGTTCCATTTGAAAAGGTGTTCTATTTCTACTTGGAGGAATTATGAAAGTGTATCATGGATTTTGAATTTTGAATTATATGAAATTCTGAGATATACATCAGATAGAAGAAAAATGGGCTATATTCATTATGTGGAAATATTATCTCAAAACATTGAAGGTACAAGAGTGAGGATTTTTAGGTCTGAGGATATGCAAAGAGATTATCATTATAATTATTTTTTACATATTTTGAATTAAAAAAAAAAAAACCTTGCCTAAATAAGATTTTTTTTTTTTTTTTGGAAAATAAAATAAGATGTTTTTGGAAAATCATTGCAGTTTAAGGGGGAGTTACAGACATTTTAAAACATAGCAGTACATTAGAAATAGACATAGAAACACATAGAAGTAGAATACATTCCGATAATAGAGCAAGTTAAAGAGGAACAGCTAGAAACCATCAGCCATATGAATTTATGTATAGTCACAGGAATTAAATAAGGTTCCCTCTTCCAAATGATGCAAATCTCTGCAATTTTGCAGTGAAACTAAAAACTGTGAAAACTGTTTTCAGTTCAGGTTGAATGTTGTGCACACTCATTTGCTTTGGCAGGAGCCCCAGGCATCCTGTCGGTCCCATGGGAGCGGGAAGGACAACCAGAGGCACAAGGCAGATGCCCCTGCTTGGCCACTCCAGGGAGCCACTATGCAACCAGGCACAAGGCAGCATTGAAGGGCAGTTAATACTAGTTAATTAGCTACCTGGCTATGCTAATTACACCTAGTGCAAATGTTTAAGAATATGTTCTTTAACAAAAAATTCTTATGGAGATGGTAGTAACGATAAGAGTCCATAAACTAATCTGTAAAAGAGAAAACAAAGCTGTATTTGGCTTCTGAGTACTTGTGTTTGTTCTGTAAGACGAAATCTGCTTCATCTGACCGTGAACTCCAAAACTACAGACAGGCTGGTTTGTATTTGATGTAAAACCCAAAGCAAGCTTTACAGGTTGGTAAAGAATGTAGAAGTGGAGAAAAATGTATATTTGAGAAAAAGTTTAATGATCTCTGGAATTATAAAATGATGCTAAATTTGGCAAGATGAGGAGATGGTGGACAATGAATTCAGCTACAACAGTCCTCAAAAGATAACATATGAGTGAAATATAAGATTTTGATAGGGTTACAAAAGATTTTTTTTTTTATCAGAAGTTTAAGGATCTCATCAATTATATAAAATTTGCCAAGATAGATCAAACCAATTTCTTTTTCCTAGGGAATCAGAAAAGATCAGAAAAGAAAGAAAAAAAATCTTATCGTGCCATATATCTTTTTTGATTACAGTTACAACTGAATGTCATAAAATAAGAAAAAGTATTGTGAAGCTTTAACTAAATACTAAGCGTTCTGGTAATACAGCAAATCACATAATGATACTTTTCAGTTTCTTACATTATTGCCTTGACTCTTTCCAGAGATTCATAAGTGAAAACTAATTTTAGGGTTTACTGACATGGTAAGATAAGTATATTGAATAGGAATACACTCACTGCTTTGTAATAACTATTTGAATATATTCTTTTATTTAAGAGTAATAGAATTATTGTCAAAGCAGTCTTTTTTCTTTTGAGAAAATGCAATCCACAAATGTACTGTAGCCCGTGATTATCAATATGGCTAAATAATAATCAGTTTAGTAAGTGGTGCCATCTAAACTCTCATATTTATATTTAACTGAAAAATTAACAATGTAGTTGAGCTGCACAGAAAATATTCATTATGAATCATGCATTTTAGAACAGTAAGAAAAAACGGGGAATGTTTTTCTTTTTATCTCCTTCCTTCTTCTTATTAACCTGCATATACAAGCACTGTACTATCAGGACCAGTTTGCATTGATTTATTTTAATTAGAATATTAGAAATATTAATTTCCAGTTTTGGCAACTGACAGGTGATTTGAGAATGTTGCCATTCCACAAAGAGAGGAAATCAAACCCTTACAAGTTTGTTGTTTTTGTTGACTGTTACTTATCTGAAAGCATAAAGACAAGTTTTTGTTGTTTTTGTTGATGTTTCAAAAACCATTGTCCTGACAAGGGGACATTTTTTTTAATAAAATCTGGTTATTTTTCTCTTCTTTGAATAGATAGGGACAATTAACTGTAGTATAAATAATATGGAAAAAGGAGTGAAATTCATCATTCAAAATCAATAACAGTAGAGTCGATGGAGGAAAAAAAAAAAAAAAAGAACCATTCGAGGTAACTGGAGGAAATTAGACACCAAAAAAAGAAAACTATTTCATTCTTTTGAGGAAATTATTGAATTTTTCTTTCTGCGAAGACCTCAGAATAGGTATGCTTCCATATGCAAAATCTCAAGAATAGCAAGTTTAGCTATAGAGCACTACAAACTGGTTTACTTTTCTCATGTGAATCAGTACTGACCTGTACTGATTTCAGTAGAACAATTCCTAGAGACAAAGAGCAAATTCAATCCTTAGCAGCTTTTAATCAACATTTAATTCTGTTTTCCTCATTCGCATAGAAAAGTCTGATATAATAGTCTGAAGCTTTGCTGTATGTTGGCAGGCATACAACTACGAATCCTTGCCATTGAGACTTAGGGAACTTGTTTATTAGAGATTTAAATTTTTGAAGTTTTAGAGTAATTTACTTTTAATGCATGAACTGACAGAAATAGCCAATTTACTCTCCAAAATTTACACAAAGAGATTGAACAATGGTAAATTTAAAACTCACAAAATAAAATGGCTTTCTCCATTAGGTGTTCAAAGGAACTTACTGTCGTAAGATATGGGTCACCAATATCTTGGTAGAAGATCAGTAATCTTATACTATGCTAGTCTTAGCCCTAAAATGCTTCATTTATGAAGCTAATATTTCAGGATGAGCTTGAAGAAAATTTTCAGCCCAGCTATGGGCTCCCTCATCCTTAGCATAATTCCTAAAAGCTAGTTAAAACACTAAACACTGAATATATGAACTACTGAACTATTATAACTTGAATATTCTTTTTTTTTTCAATGTTCACTACTCAAAGCTCAATGGTTGAAATTGAAAGGTGGCAAGGAGGAGTCATTCAATACCAGGTTCCCACCAACATTCAGATATACAGACATTTTAAAATCCCATCTTTCAGTATAGGGTTATTTACATAGGGTTATTGACAACAAGTTAACCATGAGTCAACAGTGTGCCCTTGTGGCCAAGAAGGCCACGGGGATCCTGGCTGCATCAGGAGGAGCCTTGCCAGCAGGTGGAGGGAGGGGATCCTGCCCCTCTACTCAGCTCTGGTGAGGTTGCACCTGGAGTATTGTGTACAGTACTGGGCTCCCCAGCATAAGAGGGATGTGGAGCTTCTAGGGAGTGTCCAGCAGAGAACAATGAAAATGATTAAGGGATTGGACCATCTCTCGTATGAGGAGAGATTGAGTGAGTTGGGCCTGTTTAGCTTGGAGAAGGTTGAGAGAGGATCTGATTCACATGTGTAGGTACATGAAGGGGCAATGTAGGGAAGAAGGGGCCAAGCTCTTCTCAGTTGTGGCCAGTGACAGGACAAGGGGTAATGGATATCAGCTGCAACACAGGAAGTTCCATCTCCATGTGAGGAAGAACTTTCTTACTGTGAGGGTGAGGACTGGAACAGCCTGCCCAGGAAGGCTGTGGAGCCTCATTCTCTGGAGGTATTCAAAACCTGCCTGGATGCCACCCTGTGCCATGTGTTCTAGGCATCCCTGGTGGAGCAGGAAGGTTGGACTAGAAGTCCCTTCCAACCTTAACCTTAACAGCAAATTAATAATGCTGTGATGTTGCAGCATTATTAATTTGCTTCTAGCATATTGAAAAATGGAGTATTTTTTCCTATTCCTATTTGTCCTATTCCTATTATTCCTATTTGTCTTTGGAAGAAAAAAATCTTAATATTTTTGGTGATACAATTTAAATTTCTCAATACAGGTTGAGGAAGTAGCATTTTATTTTCCCTCCTGAAATTGCCAAGGAGCTGTGCACAATCAATCTAGCTGATATAACAGGTTTGCTTCAAAACAATAGATATTCTTTCCTAATTGTGTGGGTTTTTTGCCTTTTTTTTTTTTTTGTTTGCTTTCCTTTTGTGGTGCTTGTAAACATAGGACTGAAACTTTCGGGTTTTACTTTCATGAAGTTTTTTTTTTGCATTTGTGGCTATTTCTGTAATTATCTTTTCCACTATTCTGTTAATAGAAATATCTCCTGCAAAAGTTTTTCCCTACTAAGATAATGCATGGGTGACAGAGAATTTTTTTTGTGAGCTTTAGTGTCCTCTTTTCCACCTTTGGTCTTAATATAATCACAATTACATTTGAACAACAACAACAACAAAAAAAACCCCTCTCCTTTGGAAGAGAATATCTTTGGAAATTATTTTCCCCCCAATATAGCTAAATCTAAGATTAAATAGATAGATGAAATTAAATGGATAAATATATGAGATTAAATAGATACATTAGATACAATAGATGAGGTACGTGAGATTAAATAGATAAACACATGAAGTGATTTTTTTTCTATCATCTACTTTCTTCTGTTTGTATTCATAAAAGCGATGAATACTATGAAGTTAAATTTCCTTTCTTATGAATTCTAACTGCTTGCCTCTTGTCTAACTTGATTTCACTCCACTTTTCTCACTATTTATATTAGGTGATTCTTGACCCTGCTAACAATCAAATCAGAGGGGATTTATGTGTCAAGAGAACTGACTGTGTGTGTGAATACATTGTAAATCAATCCTATTACTTGTTTAGAAGCAGAAAAAAATAGCCCTTTCTGTGTCATTATTTTCTCCTGGAGATTTCCTTTCTCATTTGCAAAGGTCCAGTGGCAACTCAAGCCTACTTTTAATTTTAAGCAGAAGACACCTGCTCCATGAGATCATTACTTTTCTCCCATGTACAATTGCAAGCTGCCACTGTGTGAAGTTAGCCTGTAATGCCTATGGTGGGTTCTGTAGGAATTTATAACCCTGATAATAAATTCAGGTTCCTTAAACAGCATTACCAGATATTGAGGTCACCTTGGCTTGACAGTTTCAAGGGAAAACAAACAACCCTAAATTACCATCCTTGCTTCTCATTCACATCTGAAAACTTTTAGCAATGCTTTTACCATAGGAACAGGAAAACAACAGTTCTCAATGACAGCATTTGCTCCACTCATAATTTAGTTAATGACACTGAAGTTGTCCTCCATCTGCTGCTCTGCTGTCTCTTCCAGTCCTCTACCAAATGCCAGGTTTCTAGTGAATTGATTCCTTGCTGTCAGTGATGTCATCAATCTGGTATCATAAGCATGCATTTTTGCTGATGCATCCACTAGCAATGTCAAAACTGAGCACTTTCCATTTAGTGCTTATTTATATTTCCTCTCAAATAAAGAGAGTATCAGATGGAAGAACTTGTTTTCTCTGTGATGTGCATTCTTAAATCCCATAGTAGCAAAAATTACTCTAGTCATAAGAAAAAATGCTCTTGGCTATCATCTTGCAGACTTATGCAAGTGCTCCATTTTATTACTATGAAGAAACTGTAAGACCATCTCTCTACTTACACAACTGAGGTCTTCAGTGGCTGTTCTGGGATTCTTTTTACTGGAGATGAGAAGAGGTAAAAGACAATGAGACTCATTTGCTTTTTCTGAAGTTTTTGGGTTTCAAGAAATCCATTTGTGGTTTCTGCCACTGGCAATCTAAAAGAAAGAGTGAAAAAGAAAGGACAACTATTTAATAGAATCAGTCATTATGCTAGATGGAAAATTATAGTTTTATTCAAAATTATAGAGGTAACAAGATATTGACAAGGATAAATCTTTGAATGTGATATATTCTTCTGAAGGGAACAATTATCAATATACCCCTGGAAAAAAAAAAAAAAAAATACATGTGTGTTAAACATGAGCAGTCTGAAAGTTCATAAACAGAAAAGTAACCCTGCAAAAGGCAAGTTGTAAAATCTTTAGAAGTGAGGAATGAATTGCTATTAAAATATTCAGTCTAAATCCTCATCCTAAAGTGCCATAAAAATGCTCACTGATTTTTGAATACTAGAAAAAAAAAGTAAGATATAGTACTCATATATACTAATTTCCTAAGCAGACTGTAAGAATATATTTGAATTCCAACCACCTTATGCTTCCTTTAAACTGTACTAGTCTTTAGGAGTTAGGGGCAACTGTGGGCTTCAAACATGATTCATGACAGATTTGTCATGACTGTAAATTTTAATGATTTCCTGTAGTCCAGAAACAGAAGTAAACTAAGTGGTCAAAATGATAAAGTTGATATAAATGGGTACATTTTGAGATTTTAATCAAAACAAGTCTTTGTGATATATATTTTCCTGCTCACCTATCTCTCCTAAATAGCTCTTTGGTGGAATCTAGGTTTCTACAAATGCAGCTGGAAAAGGCCATGAGCTAAAATGAAGGTGAACATGTCTTGAGCTATACAGAGTCAGAAGAAATGTAGACAAAATGAGCTCATTATGCAATAGGCAGAATCCCACAGTGCAAGAATTTGAAATATAGCAAAATATTTGGGGTTTTGGTCCCAGTTATACTGTTTAAATTGTCTTATCTGATAAATGCAGTATTCTTTAATGATCAAATTTCAGAAAGTGAGGATAATCATATTGAATTTCTGTTTCCATGTGTACTTAACAGCAACAAAAAAAATCATACTGCTTAATCTCTGTCACTGCAGTTTAGTAAACTCTCTTCCTGCTTTCTCTCCCCCTTACTCTTTCCAGAAAAACTCCGTATAATAACAATAAACAGTATAGAGAAGCATCAATCAGGGAAGACTTAGGCAGAGCTTTTCTAAATAGGAGGGAATTGACAATTCTCTTCCAACTCTGTATTTTGTATATTGTATATTAAGTACATTTTGTAATTCAAAACTATGATTTTCAATATTGTGCAAGACGGTTTAGTGTCTTAAGAAGTGTAACATAGTGTCATAATAGTGTACAAGAGTAGAGATAATATAAGGAAGAAAAACATTAAAATATAGTACAGTAAAACCTCTAATAAATCATTGCTTCAAACCATTTTTTGAGGGAAAAAAAAGTTTTCATTCTCCTCTGCACTTTAGAAAAAAAGTGCAAATAGTGTTTCTGATAAAAATATCTTACTCTTTCAAACAAATTTAATCCAAAACTTCTTAAAAACAAGAATAGGAAATGATGTGGAATCCTTGTCACATCCTATAATCTTTTCAATAATCTATAGAAACATCTTGGATTTGTAAATAAATACTTTTCAATGACAATAACAGCCCATCCACACCTTCTATGAGATTATTTTTTATAAACTTATTGTGAAAGATACATTATGTGTTATTCTATATAACTCTGAACATTATTATAGTTTCCTGGATCATTGTCCAAGCCAAAAATCTAAAAAAGAACTTTTGCTGAGGTCAGAAGAACTTACTTCCAGTTTTTAATTTGGGCTCTACTAGAAAAATGAAAAATAGACTTTTTTTTTTTTTTTCAATTGAATCTGGAAAGAAACATCTTACCCCTATTTTTGTGTTCTCAGTCTTCATACAAGGATTAACTAGTGCAGATAATTCCTTAGTTATCATGTCTGTGTCCCCAATGCCCAGACTTGTTCTTTTTAGAAGTAGTTCTGCTATATCCAAGTATTATTCTAGTCTTTTCAGGAACAGGAATATTGTATGCTTAAGGAAAATGAATTTACTAACATGATTTTAAAAATGACTTCTCAGACAACGTAAGGAAAAATTCAACACTTTTAAAAAATGTGGCTATTTCTAAAACCACATTCTCTTGAGATAGTGGAGTGGCACTAAGAGCACTTCAAAAACCTGAGTCACCAGCTGCTCGAGAAAATCAAGAGTACTTCTAAATAAAACAAAACATGTCTGTGACAATCTATTGTTCTTACACCTGCAGAACAAATCAGAAGAATGCACATTGCTAAAGGAAGAGCTATTGTGGAATCAGCAGAAGTTCAAGAACCTGCAGGCTCTGTTTTGTCTGCTAGGAGCAGCAGGAGCTATAGTAACAGACTAACCTTTGAAATCTTGAAATATAGTATAAACTTAGAAGCAAAACAAATGCTATTTAGAAATCATCCGAGTTCAGATAAAATACTTGCTTTTTCCTTTCAACATGAAAAAGAGATATTCTGAAACGTATGTCCTAGGTATTGAACCCTAAACCTTATCAGCATTGAAATATATCATTCTTCATAACCAAATGATCCTTTCTCTGTAATTAAGCAATTCTAATAATAGTAATAAGAAAGCAAATTAAAAAAAAAAATCATATTACCATTATCCACGGGCACTCCTGTCATGGGACATAAACAAGAGTAATCCCATCAAGGATTTGCTGATTAAATGATGTATCTTTAGTTAGTTTAGATGGAAACTTTCCTTTCTGAACACCATATTATACATGAAAATATTTGTTGTATTGAAAACACAATCTATAGAGGGGCATAGAGAGGGACATTTTTGGAGAAAGTAATGAGAGAAGGTAGTGACATTCATTTTTCCTAAAATAATTGATTTAGGCCATGAGCTTGAACCCAGATTCCCAAAAGGCATTATTCTTAAATGAGGCACTATAAGATTATTTTGAATGTGATGGTGAACCTTATTTTTTGTCAATTATTTAAAATCTTGAACTCATGTCAGTGCAGAACAGGAATTCCTGACCTTTCTTCAAGATGAGATAACTGTGTCTTACCCAATTCTAAGTTAGAGAATGTGAATTGTGAGCCAAATCATATTTATGGAACTTTCCTAGACAAAAACGTTTTTTCTTTCCACTCTTGACCACAATTTAGCTTGCTTCATTCTCTATTATGTGTTATGGTTGTTATACACACTGGTTATGTGTTATGTGTTGTGAATAATTTTTGAATGTTAGCCCTATATGGAATGCAGTTTGGGCAAATATAGTGATTGACAAACTTTTAAGTATGCTAGGAAAATGAGAATACTTGCAAAAAAAAACCCAAAAAAACCCCACACCTTTTTAACTATACACATTAAAAATGTAGATGTTTTATTAAGTTCAATTGTAAACTAAATTAAGATAATCCATCAGAAAATAAATCTTTGTCTCTCAGTCTGTTGCTTAACCTAGGCTGTACACCCACCTCTACATATGTCTATTAGTTCCTCCTTCTTACTAGTTTATTCAGCTTAGGAATAAAATTCAAACAGTAAAAGAGTTGGCAAATAGTCGAGAAAACATTTTTGTTCTCTCTGATAGTCTGTAAAACTAATGAAACAAGTAAAATCATGCTTATTGATATGTATTTGTCTCTAATCATTGAAAACATGAAGATTTTGACTATTTAGTTCTGTCTGTTTTCCCAATCAAATCTGACTGATATAAATGTCAAGTTTTCTGTTGGCGAATGTAAAAAACATCGATGTAACACTTCATGTAATCTTGTTTCAATTTCCATTTTTTTTTTTTTTTTTTTTTTTTTTTTTGGATACCAGTATTGATTGTTTTTGCATTCCTTGTGTTGTTTATATGAAAAAAAAAAAAATCTTGGAAATAGCCAAATTATTTAGAAGTGTTTGCTCAAGATATGTCACTTTGTCAGTATTTTGAAATGTCAGCTGCCATGCAAACAAGCCTGCAGCAGTATTCCAGCACTTATTTATTAGATGAGCATTAAAAGAGAAGCATTAGCTATTGAAAACTAAACACTGCAGTGTGCCTACAGACATGGTAGAATTATATAATTCAGCATGCCGTACATGACTGAGATAACTTGCCCTGCGTGCCTCCTCAACATCCAATGTTTTTATATTTATTTATTTCAGGTTTGAACTTTTGGACATAAACTTAATGAATGGAGACTTCATTGACAATTAACGTCAGTAAGAGAAATTAAATCTAAAAGGCAAATATATGTCAGATATGTTTATTTTCTAGAAATGAACAAACTAATTATGAACAGGAAAAATATATTTTAGGCTTATATTTAGCATGCAGCACTCCAAATAAACTCTGTATTTTACATCAAACACACCTATCAGGGCCCTACTGAAAAATCAACGGTAGAATAGTAACCTTTTCGAAAGGTTTCTCATTACATGTGATATCACTAGTAGCCAGGTACTGCTAAATATTCTCTCCTTTGCAGGCACTCTGAGTATGAGTTAGGAAGAGGAAAACTTAAGAATAACTATCCTTCTATCCACACCACCATTTCCATATAACTTCTAAAGACCTGTCATAAGCAAGCAATATACTTCTGAGGCTAGACAAGGAAATGGGATCTTTGGACTCATTGGAAGGAGGGTACAGAGCAGTATGAAGGAGTATGAAGGGTATGAACCTGTTGCTGTATGTTATATCACTCTATAGCCACACTTAGTGAGGATCTTTCTTGTCTTAAATACAATGATGTAACAATTCAAATGTTCAATCAAAGGGCAAATTCCGTTTTCAACTTAGATATGCATTCCTCTAACAATAAAGATAATTAAAGACCAAAGTCTTTAAACTAAATTGTAGACTTATATTTACTCAAAGTACTAAAAATGAGATTAGGTTTCTTCTGCTAATATTAATTCACCCTCTGAAGGAAAAAAGTAAACACAATGATTATGTGCAGAAATTATATTCAATTAATCTATGATTCTACATAATATCATCTTTTAAGATATTTGGTGCTGCTAGATCCTAATAAAAGGTGAATTTCTCTAAGACCTAACAATCAATGTATAAGATAAGAAGAAGAAGATAGGTACATATATAAAGCTTGAAATTTAGCAAAAGATGAGGCAATATTGGCCAGCAATCTGTGCAGTGAAAGCAGCTTATCTGCACCTTTTCATTAAGACTCATAGTAGTAAATAGCTTAAAGAGAAGATTTGAAGCAATAAAATTAACTAGTATTTAGATTCTTACAATGATTTTTTTCCAGGCCTGAGGGATAGCCATGGAAAAAACATATGTTCTATGTTGTAGATCAGTAGAAAGTGATTTTTGAGATAAGATAAACTCAAAGCTATTTTAGTTATCTACATATGCCTTCCCCAGATTGGATTCTCAAGTAATCTGCTGCATAGCACTTTGTAGCAGTAATACTAGTTAAATATCAATAGTTACACAAAGAAACTCTACTTGAATAATTGATGCTAAACAAACTGAATGAAAAAATAAAAAATCCCATATTGGCCTTTCAGTTTTTCATCCAAGCTGCTGGTACACACAGAATTGTGCATAATTTGTAATTAACAGTACAACCAGTCCTTCTAATAATCAAAACTTGTTTCAAAACAGCAAAAAAAAGAACTGGAAAACAGTATTTATGTCATAAATATAGCTTTGAGATTATCACTGAAAATAGCTATTTCTATGTTTGTACTGCATTACTGAAGTAATTGCTTATACTACTATAAATAATAAAAATGTGTGGAAAATAAAGTGCCACAGTTAAATGTATTAGTAAAACGCTTCACAGTCATATATGATACTAGGTATACGCTGTTGTAGATAATGCTAATCTCCTTAGGTACTTCTGTTTTCCTGTATTCTGTCAATAAGTGCAATCTTGTTCACAAATTAACAATAGCAAAATCTTTGTCTTAAAAAAGTCACTTTTTGTACTTACCCTTTAATCTAACGTAAGTATTCATGACTAACTTAACTGATATTTAATTACATTGAGATTTGAGGATTTTTTCAGTGTCTTTTGGTATATCAATGAGAAATTGCCACCTATATTTAAAAAAAAAAAATGAAGTCTTCCTTTTTTGAAAACTGCTAGCACTAGTATAGGATAATAAAAAGATCTAAGTAACTTTGTCAGACACCTTACATTTGTTACTTAGGTAATATTTTCTGGCCTTGTTTATATAAGTCTAGGTTATGCCAGATCCTAAATCCTTCTGGTTTAAATAATTACTAACATTACTCATTTTCTATATTGAGAATGAGATTCCATGCACAATTCAAAGGGTAATATAATAATTGAAAAAGCAATAGCCAAATCTGTCATCTCAACAGAAAAGATTTTCTGTTTCTGTCAGTGAGACCTGCATAGAGTTAGTCAGAAATAGATTCATTGAACTTACTTCCTGCTATAGTCACTGTGGGCTTACAAGCCAGAAATTTAAAAATATGTACTTCTTACATCAATTGTACATTTATAGTCTCTGAAAATCAGACAAGTCAGCTTGGTCTAGTTTTATTTAGAGACTTTATTTAGAGATATTAATTATATATAGCAAGTAGTACACAAATACACAAACTACTGAATGTATCCTGATGTATGTAGTTACTTATGCTTATATCTTTTAATCAGAAAATTCTAGAGTCATAAGAATTAAATCTTATGTTTATGATAGTTTAAGGTGTGTTTAAACTGGAATCTTTCATTTAGGATTTCAGATATGTTGTTTGGATATGTTTAAACAAATAAACAAACAAAGGTAGTAGACTGGACATTAAGCACTGCAGAAGTCCTTGTTACTAGCATTTTATAGTTAAGGCAAGCTGAAATCCTAACTTTCACACTGTTTAAAAAGATGATTATGACTACAGATCAAAGCTGTGCTCTCCTTTTGTTTAAAGCTCTCTATAATCAATAAGTATAAATATACAAAAAGCTTAGATCATCCTCCTCCTTTGACAATAAACTTTGACTGTTATTCAAACATTGGAACAGCACACAATGCCTTGAACAAAGTAGAAAATGTTCTTAACGCAAGAACTATGGGGTATGATGCCACATTTTTCACACTTTGCTCTCTTACTGACTATGTAACGGGGAGAACTCAATGGCAACCTAGTGACATGAAGAATATCTTTGGCTCAGGTTGTTTCATACTCATACACTCTTGAGGAAACCTACATTCCCAGAACTCAAGTCTCAGGACTCCCAGACTCTGTTGGACTCTATATCTACATTGCAAGTGGTCATAACAAAAGATGTATACATTTTCATAAAGTGAAACAGCTACTGCTGTGAACCTGAGAGAATTTACTTTGGACTAGTTCTAGTTGGTCTCTTGAATAGGGTCCCCACAAGAGCTGCAGTAACTTCACTGTGCTCCTGGAGAGCATTTCTGTGTTTAGTTTCATTCAAAAGAAACTCAGTTAGAGTGAGCTGAAAGCAGTCCATGATGTTAATCAAAGTGCTGTAAGTAAAAATGATCAGGGGAGGTACTACTTCAGAAGCACAGTTCTCAACAAAACTAAAACACTAGCGTGCACCCTTCAGTTCCCCCAGGAGACACTTGCTTCAAAGCAGGAAACCTTTAAAGACACTTCATTGTTCCTTATGTAACATCACAGGCTGCTTCATAAGTTCTCAGCTGTGTCAGGGATGCTCCACAAGTTTGACTGTGAGCAGACGCAAACCTACTGAGCTCTGAGACAGAGAAACACAGAACATCTTTGAACAGATGCCATATAGGTGTTACATTTCTGTTGCACTGACCCTGATTTATATCATGCCCAGGCTGGAGCGTCAGCAAAGAGAGTTCTCATCATGCCAAGACTAATCACATAGATTTTGTTTCAGCAGTACTATACATGCTTTCTGCCGGTTCTTAATATTATTCTGAGATGAGGACAATGATAACGATGCAAAACTATGTAACACTTCACCAATATAAGTTTTATATGCCCTTATGCCACAGGATACAAAATAACATACTTTTGCAATATATCACTGTAAAAAACAGCCATAGAAGCATTCAACAAAGAGAAACTATCCAAAACCAACAACACTTCCTCCATAGGAAAAGCTTCCATCTGTTACTTGAAAGATTTGATCAGAATTTATCAATTCCAAGATCATTAAGGTCACTTTTTAATGCAGATTTTGTTGGACATTTGAAAAAAATCATCTATCTCTAGTAAACATGAAAGCCGAGGAGAAATGGCCAATAAAGGCAGACTCAGGTAGTATATAGTTCGTAGTGCTTCTTACATGTACAGCAACAGTATTGTAATTAAATGAAACACTCTCTTTACAAATGATGGTGGGTTGGACCCTGTGTGCCTCCTCCTGCCGCTCTGGGGCTGGGGCTGCCTGGGCTCATGGCCAAGTCAGTGCAGCTGGCGGCCTTGGCAAGAGGCTGCCATGCAGCTCTGCACTGGCCCCAGCTCCAGCCCACCTAGAGCTACTCTTCCTCCCTGGGATGCTTTGGATTGTGACTCCCCAGACCCGAGCTATAGTTGCAGCAGCACCATGACCTGCAGGAAGGATTACTGTATAATCTACCCTATAAATCTCTGAGGTAGGACAACTTTCCTCTAATCAAGATCTCCTTGAAGACATTACCAGACAGCAAGTGAATTAAGTGTATCTGGCTTTTACTGACAGGAAAAAAAAAAAAAAAAAAAAAAAGATTAAAAGGTGATTTTTCAGCTTAGATCTGACACCTGTTCTATCTTTTAAAACTTATCTTAACTCACTTGCTTTTCATATCCCCTCACATTTTAAATTTGATCCCTGCTGCTGAAAATTCACAAATTGCTACTAAGCTTTAACTGATATTAGCAAACTCTGCTGGTTACCTACCTAATCACTTCACTCCCAATGACCCATCATGGAAGACATGGTGCTCCATCTATCTCAGTGGCTGTGGCATGACACTGTTGTCAGAAACCACATATGTTCTGGCGGCAGCAGCAATAAGGGTATATAAAATTGCAATACTCAGCTTTATTTATTTATTTTTAAGGACTCTGAGGAATCATGCAAAAAAAAACCACAGAAATAAAATCTTTTTTTTTTTTCCTCTAAAAGAAGCACTGCCATTACAATACAATAATTGAGTAGATACAAAGATTTAGGAAAGATAAACCTTTATTATCAAAATATATGCATGCCCTATCAGGAAAGTATAGATTTAAAATAGTATAGAAATTCATTAAAAGTCATATCAAGTTATTATTCAATATGTAGTGTAAGTGGTATTAAAATGTATTTGCTAATTCTTAGTGAGAGTTTATCTGTTTGTGATAGGTATCTTTTTTCTATAGCCTTGCTTTTTTTTTTTTTTTTAATTTTTACCATACAAATCTGTTTGTGATAGGTATCTTTTATCTATAGCCTTGCTTATTCTTTAATTTTTACCGCACAATCAGAAGGTAACTGTTACTTTATATCTCATTATATTAAAGTAAGTTCAGCTCTGTGGCAAAAGCAAGTCACTAAGTATTCCACAATTCCCATTGAATCCTTGTGTCAAGAGCCTTGAAATTTAAGCAAATGAATCCACTTGTACGCTGTTCTCCTTATTATGTGTTCTTTGCAATCTGTTTTAGTTCATGTTCATGAATAAGACAAAAATGCTTCTCTTGACTAGTAATGAGAAAGAGAAAGAGATTTTAACCTGTAGAATGTATCTTTAACATGTTAAAGTGACTCAGCAGCCTCATTTGGAGAATTCTCTTTTCTTTGCTCCATTGGCTCCAATCTAGAAATAGGTGGGGATCTGATGGAGTGAAAAATAAAAGGGAAGTAAAACTGAGTATGCTCTGATAATTTACCCCATACCCCTACCTCCCTTACCTAACCCTCATATGTGGTTTATTTTGCTTTTGACATTTTGTACTACTGCGGCTGCTCCTCTCTTCGTGGTATGAATACTGTGTGCCTGAAAGTCTATAGGCCATAGCAAACAGCACAAAAGTATAACCAGCAGGGCTATTTCATTTAATATATCATTCACAGCTTGCTGCTGAGATTCTAAAACTGTCTATAAATTCCTCATAATGTTAGAAGGAAAAGAAGTTTTAATTCTTTTCTAATCTTAGGGATTTTCTAATTTTAGGAAAGTTCTTCAGGCTTTTGACACCCTTCACCACCCCACCACCCCTAGAAGGATTTTCTAGTTTGATATTCTCATAAGATAAGGAATTGAGATACAAGGCTGTATTTGGGATGTATTAAAATTCAAATTTTACCAGTTTTCAGTTCCAAGTTATTGCTGGGAGTATGCCCTTACTTAGTACTACAGTGGTGAACTAGGTTTAAGAATCAGATTTCAAAGAGTAAGCCTGAAAATACACATAAGTGCCAATATAATCAATTCATGGCTTTCTTGAAAGAACAATCAAAATAAAATCTTTCACCCTCAGAATATTATGAATTTCAATCTGGAAGTTATTTTTTTTTCCTAGGTATTATAAAAGGCTTTTATATTTATGTTGTTCTTTTGTTACTAATGGATCCTAGTCCAGTCCAAGTTTTATTGAACTGGACTTTCCAGAAAATAGATGAAGCAAAGATTTCAAAAAGTCTTTTCTTTTTATTTATTACTTTGTAGTGATAAATTCTGCCTAGCTTGTTAAAAGGATGTACATCAAGAACTCATAAGACAATGTCTGTTTGCCAAAGAAAGCCAACATTTCTAAAATTGGACTTCTGTGCCTTTACACTTAAGAAGATTACAAAAATTAGACATCCATTCCTCAAAATCACAATTAATGAATTACTTAATTCCTCTTTCAGTGACTACTGCATACACCATTTCTTGTTCCAAAGATATAATCATATGCTAGAATTTAAAGTCAGTACAAGGAAAAAGAGTGCATGAACTTCTGTGGTAAATACACATGCCCATGCTTTGCCCTAGAATTGAGAAAGATAAGCAAATGCTGCTCACATTCATTTAAAAAGAGATGAGTAGAAAATACTGTTAATCTCAAAATTTTTGCACTGATTGAAAAAAAAAGATTTTTCTTTCTTTTTGCTGTATTGAAAAACAGAACTAATTTCAGTTTTCACTCACTAGTATTTTCTAGTAAACATAAAAAAAAAGTTTAGCAGATTTAGCAGTTTCTTTCATATTTTTATGCAAATATAGGCATATATATATATGTGAGTGTATGCACTTACAGATATGCATCATTTGTATGTAGAATTTTAAATTATATCACTAAATGGGCCATACAGAAATTTAACTCTTTAAGTATTTTAACTAATATATTTAATAGTTTTCAATTAGTTCTAATTTGCTAATTCTGCATTTTACAAGGATAGCTTGAGTAGGACTGCATTTCACTATAAAACAATATCTTTTTAAACCTACCTAGTCATTTCTTGCCAGGTTGTATGGAAAGTTTTGCAGCAACGCACATGTGTAGACAGCTGGAGAGCATCTTCTTCCAGGATACATTTCTGATACGGATAGAAAAACAAGAACATGAACATTATTTTATGTGTGTGAACTTGAAATGGAGAATTTGCAAAAAAATATTGCCTAATTCATTTATCTTTAGGGACATGCACTCGATCCAATTGAGCCAAAATATCTCGTACAACCAAGACAACAGCAGGAGAAAGCACAGCTCTGAAGAGCCATAAAATAGGTAAAGCAGGCAGTGCACCTTCCTGTCACTACTGAAGCCCCTAGGATATTTAAAAGCTTGTCACCTGGCAAGATGCCCTTTTGCTAAACACAAATGTGGCCTTGCTGATAGCACATTATCTCTTTATTTTCTGTGTTGCAAATAGCATCATTTAGCCTTTGCTTGATCTAGGTAGGAAGAAACATTGCGTTCAGATGAACTTCCAAGTAGAAATTCCATATAAATGATAAAAATAGATACAGAAAGCTCTAAGGTTTTGTGAGAAAACAGTCTTTATTATCTGCATTTTGCTATAATATTTGCTAGAAATTTTTGCTAGAAAATATTTGCTAGTTAACGTTGCTAAGATAGCAACATGTTTATAATATTTTTTGTTAGATGTGTATGTTAAAGTACTGAGGCAGATCACTAGACTCTCACTTTAGCTAACTGAACAGACTGTGAGAAACGTCAGCACATGACATGAGAAATTGCTGAACACAACAAATAACACGGTGAGAAGCTGGCAAAAATTACAGGTAGCACCATGAGGGATTTCACAGGTGATTAAGCAGAAGTTGAGTGAGAGACAGCTGAGCTTCACAGGAGGTGAAGGCAGGGACCTTTTGGGAGACATAGTCTTGCAAGGCCAGCAGCACCTAGGTCTACCAGTAACACACTGAGATGTCCTTGATCACAGGATCAGCAGAAGCAAATTTGAGGAGAGATTTAGTCAGTAGAGGTGTGCAGGTGTATAGCTCTTGAAGGTGTCAATCTGAAGCTCATCGGTCACTGATAATGTGCTGGTTAGAAGTGGGTATTTCAGTCCTCACACAGTTCTAATTGATATACAGTATGCATTATAAAAATCTAATGTTTTTACACTTATACTTTATGACCTGATCTTCTGCAATTCTATGTATAAAATGATTTGGATAATTTGGCAGAATTTGTTGTGAAATACCAAAATACATATAAAAACTGGTCAGTAGCATGCCAGAAGTGGATAACAGTATGTCTTTTACGATCACAAAAGTATTTTTTCTTTTTTTTTTTGACAAGAACAAATTACACTTTCTAAGCATTTATGTGTTTGTTCTTAAGACAAACATATAAATTGTTCTTAGATTGTTTAGATTGCTCTTAGAACAATCTAAAAATAGGGAATTAAGATAGTAAATGTGTGTCAATTCCACAAAGAAATGAAATGAATATAAAAAGTTTGTAATAGCAAGCTTTCTATGGTCCTATTGTTTTTGAGATCTTGTAGCATCAAAAGTGACAGTAACAAATAAAGGAAAGATTTTTCCTAAAACTGTTATAGTTATATGTCTTGTAATTTATTTACGTGGACATATAGAGAGACATGCACTATATATATATATATATATTATTAACTGCTTGTTTGTTTCCGATTTTAGCATTTTTCTTTATTTCAGAAGTGAATTGTTACTTTTCTAAGATTGAAAAGTTACTGGTCATCCACAGGTTTGATGTTGGAATATGTCTTTTAGGATCTTCCAACTAAGGACAATTTTTGTACTCTGTAATCACAGCTGTGAGATAGCCATGGGAAAAGTATCCTCTAACTCTCTAGAAAAGTAATTTGTTGGTATTCAAAAATGTCTGGTTTCTGGCAGTAGAAAATTCATCAGCAGTAATTTTTATCAGGGAACATAATAGCAATGCATGGTTAATGATTCAAGGAAATAAAACAAACACATACGAACACTCAATTTTATTGTGTTACTTTATATAATACAGTTTCATTTATGGGACCATTTATCATTAAACAATGTACCATAATCCATAATAATTTGTAAATGGTTTTGACATCGAATGGTCATCTGGCATCTGTGTAAAAAGTAGTGATTTCAAAAAATCCAGGGATATTGGCAAAATCTACCTAAAGCCCCCAGAATAAGGACCTGCTACTCCATGGGATTCAGCCCTAAGTTATATTGTAATTAATCTGGATATATTCTAGAATAATTGACAGCTATAATTGGCTCTCTTCAGCCTCCTGGATTCTGAAAATTTCATGTCATGGTTTAAAGGAAACAGCTAACTTAACAATCACAAGAATTGCACTTTGTCTCTGAAAAGAAATAAAACTCTCCCAAATTCTCACAAGAAACTCATTATCTTTATGATTCACAACAATTTACTATTAAATAGTAATTCAAGAAGTACAATGTTAAAAATGACTTCTGTTTGTGCTTGGATTCTGTATCTCTTTCAGAAAGATATACTCAGTTTAGCAGTGGTTTTAGCAGTGAAGATGATTCAGCTTTTGAGTCTTGTACTATGGGTCTCATCAGCACTGTTCAGAGAGATCCCCCTTCTGCTTTGTCTTCTTTAATTTTTGAAAGCCTGCATTCTGAATCCGGCTTTGAGAAAGGAGATTAGGTCTTTTCTTCTACTAGCAAAAGGCATCAAGAGAACAGAGCTTCAATTTGGCAAGTGTTCAAAAGTTTCAAGCTTTAAAAATGCTTGGATTAATAGGCCAACAATCAAACAAGTTTTACAGTCCAATGAGAAAACAAGTGCAGAAATGGATAATCAGCATGGGGTAGAAGCAAAGATCTGTTGCTGATTTGAAGCATATGTAATAATTGCTCAGAGAGAAGATTAGAATAAATTCTGCATTCTTGGAGACTCTCAGATGAGATTTGGTAAATATTTTATGTATCAATTCCTTTTTTACAGCTGCATATGCAAACTCACACTGGTATGATTACTGCCATGATTCAAACCCAATATTGTCTGAGACATCTTATACTTACCTGAATCTGGTCAAAAGGATAGATTAAAAGCTCATGTGTAAAGGCTATCTCTTTTCTAACACAATAAATTTGAACCAGGATAGATAAAGATACATACATATAGAACTAAAAATATTCTTCCTAGAACCATAAAGAAAAATTTTGCGGCTACAAAATCCTCTGTAGATTAATAGACAAAGGGAGTTTGGGGGATATAAAAGATTGGAAATATGATTTCTAGAAACTCTTTAGTATGATTTCTAGAAACCAATATTTACTGTAGACAACTTTTCGCTAGAAAATCCTAAGAAACAGAATTTCATTGGACTTGTAGTGCAAGGAAGAAGGAGTGTGAACAGAGATAGCTTGGAAGCACAGTATATCTTTGAAATTGTCCTTATGTTCCAAAAATTAACTAATATTGTTAAATCTGGAGGTAAACTCAATTTCTCTTTGATGAAAGAAGCACTTATGTTGGTAACAAGATGAATATTTCAAGTGAATTCATATTTTCCTTTGAATAAACCACTTCACCTCTATCACTAGGATCTTATTCATATTAATTAATTATTTGGAAAATACTTAAAAGGTATAAAATAAGGTTCATCATGTTATTACTAATTTTCATTATCTTGTAATTTTTTAGGTAGTGCAGACATTTGCTCTAATTAAATTTTTATTATTATTATTTATTTAAGAAAGTACTGTGAAATAAAATAATTTTATTAGGGTTAAATACGCACACAAACCTGTTCTAGGCCATCATAGATTAGTAATACTATGAATTACGTTAACCCTATGAAGTGAGACTATTTTTGCTCCAACTACCAGTTAGAGAGTAATATGTATACAGTTAGAAACGCTGCCCAGGGCATTTCCTGGGGATTAATGAACTAATCGCCATTTGGGAGAGTTACTTGCTTGAGGCAAAGCTGCTCATTAATCCAGGGCTGTGGGTGTTACACGATTTGGGGATTTTTAATTCAGCCACAGAGTAAACTCTTACAATTTTCCCTAGAAGCATTTTCATTTTTCCACTGTGCCTGAAGCATATTAAATTTGAATGGGTGGTACTCCTATATTGGATATTCATACAATATTTATAGGTAGTACGGTAGAACGAGGTTTTCATTTTAATTCTTAATATTCTACAAGGAATTGTATGGCTAATATATTATATTCAAACTATTTCCCTGCCAAAACTTTTCTAGCACATTAAATAATACCAAGATAGAAGCATTATACTTAATCCTGTGAGCAATGTAGCAAGCCTAAATAGACTGAATTCCAGGGCAGAAATGCAGAGCTTATCTGAGGAGATGCCAAAGGATTAACAATTCCATTGGTTTGTCTAACAAAACTGGAGTCCAGTTGCTTACAAGCCTCAAATATATGTGACAGCACATTTCCAGTACAGGAGAATGTATTGCTTAGCTATTCAGAAACTTAGGTAACACAGGATATAATACTCAGCAGGAGCTAGCCAAAAATATTTCATAATTTAAAACTGCATCTCTAACCTGCCAAATTCTTCTGTTTCAGGAAAGCTAAAAGAAAGCACATTGAATGAGATCAGATTTATTTGTCTTCCAAATGAAAACTATGGAATAAATAGAAAGCAAAAATAGTTCTATTATTTGTTATATAAAATAAAAGTTCTATATCTACACTGGTAGATGTGTTTATCTTATAAGTGCAATAGCAATCAAATAATATATATCAAAATTAGCTAGATTAATTAATAACATATTCTTAAAATTTTGCAGTTTTCATCAGTGAGTTTTAAGTGGTTGCTCTGCAGCATTACAATAGTAAGAAAAATTCAGTCTCTGTAAATCTTGACTTTCAGTGGAGTATGTTTTTATGTCCCACTGCTTGTTCAATATATCTAAAAAGTTTGGAGATTCATAAAGTCTTACAGTAATATCATATGCAATTCCAGTGAAGCTCTAGTGGTTAATTTCCTTTGGACACATGTGAGTATAAGAAATTCTAGAAGAAAATAAAAGAGAAATTTCTTTCATGGAAAATCTAGCTGATAAATTTCTACAGTAGATAAATTAACACCCAGCTACTTCATTATCAT